GCAGCCCATGGGGCTGAACGGGTTGTCCACCCCTACATTAAACAATCCATGTAATCATTTGTGTTGACTTCTTCCATTTGTAAATATAAACCAAACATACACGAAAAAGAACATTTCTTACAACCAGCACTTTTATTTAACTTGTTCAGTTCTTTGTTTTTATATCTACCTATCTATCTGATCTCCTCTTTCTTCCTATTTATAACAACTGTGACACCTTTCCCCACAAAGAAGTAGTAATGTACAAAAGAAGCTACCTTTTGCTCTGTTGTTAAAGTTGATTTTGTATGGACTGTCTTCGGCTTGGACAACAGTGAAAATTCCCCAGGAAAAAGAACAAGGTCTACATGCACTCTTGGCTGCGAAGTGCTCTCAAATTAAATCAGTTTGAAGTGGTTTTCATTAAGATGGATTGAGTGTGGCATCGTGAGAAACACTTTATCAAATGTAGTGTTTTACTTAGTGATTAAGTATATACCAGTTGATGAAGCTCCCCAAATCCTTCGTAATCCCACCACTCCAATAAACATTTAATGAGCATATAAGTTCAAAAAGCCTAGCAGAGGATTTAAACCTTCAATCTTGTTTTTATTTACTCTTCCAACTCAATTTCTCACTTCAAGTTAAGAATGCTATTGCTTGAAGCTCATCTGTTGCCCTGGTAAAATTAAGTGCCCTCTGCAGTTCAAATTAAAATATTTGCTTTCATATTTCTATTACTTTGGAAGAGATGAATAGATAGTTGCACACACATACACTCTGACTATTTTATTTTTAAACTTACTAATCTCTTAATAACTATTTTTAATTAAAACTTTCATTATGAAAACAGTATTTTGAAGGCACAATGAATAACAGCAATAAGGTAAGATTGTAGTAGAGTTTATTACTTTTAACACATTTCAATCAGTTATTTTATTTATTAGCTTAGGAATACTGTGGGTTTTTAAGGAGGAGAATCAGCACATGAAATTTTCTGCTGTATTTAATCCTCTTTCCCAAAGCAAAACAAGATAATGAAACAACCTATGTATAATTATTATATTTATTTCCTCACCTTTTGCAAGGGACCCAATTTACATTGCCCTCTGTCCCATTTTATCCCCATAATAGCCCCATGAGGTGGGTTAGGCTGTGAATCAGTGACTGGCCCAAATCAGCCAGTGTATTTCATGGCCAAATGTGACTAGCAGAATCCAAATCTCCCACAGCTCTGTTCAATGGATTCTCTAAATATTTGGTTTTAGAAACATAGTAGAAACATTATGCAGATGAAGATGCAGTCCTATGCGTGTTTAGGCAGAAAAAAATCCTGTATCTCACAGGATTTCCCAGTCAACATAACTGGTTAAGAAATGCTCAGAACCATAGGGCTTTTCAAAATGTAAAAATGCAAAGGATTGCAGCCTAAGAGTATATGCAATGAATCAAGAAAGTGACATTTCCAAAGTGTTAAAACATTCAGGGTTTGGCTGTACATAGGGTTTTTTTTCATAATTATAATCATGGCCATAATTTCTTTGTTATAGCAGTGTTTATATGTGTTATAAAATATAGAAAGAAACTGCTGTCATGTATATCACATTTCATCAGCTCTGTCATCAAGTACTTTGTGTAAATTGTGTACAATTTATGTCTAAATTGTGTAGTATATGAGAAATGACAGGCACTTTAAATATTTTATCTGATGTTGGACTTTCTGCATAAGGCAACATGGACTTCTCAGAATATAGAATTTCAACATAGAACATGTAACTGCCTCTTTGTTACTATGCTTTTGCTCAGGCACTGTGGAGAACCATGGTACAGTACAGGGACACAGCACAATTGGAGATCTGGAACAAGAGCTGGACTGCCATAGGCTAAACCTGTATCTAATTGCTATCGCTCCACTGATGGAAGGCTCTTTGATCCAACGGAAGCAATTTTTGGCAATTCCCAAACCTTGCAGGTCACCACCACTGGGGAGACTTCTTGGTCCATAGTTTCTATTTCCTTTTTGCTTCTAGCTTGCTGATTGTGTTGCAACAGCTTGTGGCTTTCTTCTGTCTTCTCTGAAACCTCATAACAAAATCCCCTTTGCCTCTGCTTTGGTCTCATCTTCCGCTACAACTCTGCCACCAAATTCCTCTTTGCTCACAGTTTGGAAGCTTGTTTTCTTTTATAAAATGCGAATGCAAGGAAAGCATCTGGCCCAGATGAGTGGTATTAAACATTTTCCATCTTTCTACTTCCCAAATTTCAGTATTTGTATAACTATTTTTGAAATGGGTTCTTTTTCATCAGCATTCAATGTTGCTTATATTACAGTAATTACTAAACCAGATAGAGATCATATCTTCTGTCCCAATTATCTATTTCATTGATTAAGGCCAATATTGAAATACTAACTGCAAATTTACCTGACAGACTGCAACAGATCGTTAGTCAAGCTGGATCAGGTGAAATTCATTAAAAATAGGCAAGAGGCTGATAATATTAATTTGGTTGTAGATGTGATTACATTAAATGATGGAACTGATACAGTGCCATTATCAACCTGGATATGGAGAAGGCCTTCAATAAAATGTATGGGAAATATATTGCATCCAGATTGAAAATCTTAGTTTTCATCCTGAATTTCACAAATGGGGAAAAAATTATATGAAACTTCTACAACATGAGCTAGATCCAATGCAGTCTTGTCTCAGTTTCTTTTACTTAAAAGAGGTATTTAGCAGGGATGTCCTCTTCCAACCATGATATTTTCTATGTTTGGAATCCCTGCCATGTACTATTTGACAAATTCCTAATATTCATAGATTTGTGCATCATGTATCAGTCAGTACATAAACTTATTCTTTATGATGATAAGCTCCTATTCTTTATTTCAGAAGTCTAATAACTTGTTCAGGCTTTGATGCAGAGAATTAACAATCTTGGGTGCGTATCTGACTATTTTATTAAATGGCCACAGTTGTAATTAATAATACACCCCATAGTGTGTTATGTAATTGGCATTTAAACTTATTTAGATTATCCAGTTAAATTTGAGTAAGTTGATTAATAAGGTCTCAAGGGACATTGACAGATGGGCATCTATAAAGTTAAATCTATGTAGGGCAAATATACTTTAAAGGAATGTGACAACTTGAATTGTTTGTTTTACATGGTATTCCTTTATCTGCCATACTTTCCAGAAACATAATGTTTTGTTTCATACTTTTTTATGGGAATCTACTCTATCATGAATATCCTCGAAAAGGATGCAATTTTTGAGCAAAGAAAATGGATGTGGCTTCCCTGCTCTTTCCTTATACCATCAGACCTATTAACTGACATGTACTAGATTTTGAACTTTTTCCAGCTTAGATTAGCAGTCTCACTTTGGGAGTATCCATTTCTGGATCTTCTTCCCAAGGGCATTGGGATTTGCTTTGGGCTGCTGTCATATCAAAACAGATAACGTTGCTCGTCCAGCTGTGGCAAGTAGAGAGTTGTGACATATATTTTCATTTCATTTGCAGTTTGACATATTTTCATATGCAAAGTTAACTTTACAGGGAAATCCAGATCAAAAATTGTTATGAAAACATTTGTTTGGTGGATTTAGATAGACAGGCTGATTTGTACCTTGGATCAGTTTGTTGATTTTAGCAAAACTTTTCTGCCATTTTCTGCTTTGTGTGCTAAATATGAATTCTCCCCTTTGGCTGCATTGTGATATATGCAACTGAAATTTATGTTAAAATCTAGTCCTGCTAATTTTGTCCTGCTACTTTGGTCCTGCTTCAGAGTTGCCTGTGTTATTGGAAGTATCAACTGAAGCTGAACAGTAACATTGGCCTACAATTAATGTCTATAAATGTTTATTATCATTGAATAAATATGATACATGGAATATTAATCAAGAATGGCCTAGAATACCTCAGCTTGCCCAAACATGGCCTCCATCCTTATCTGTTCTACAGGAGACTATGCTTAATTTGGCAAAATATGATGATTTGTGTATTTTGGACACCACATCTTTTTGAAAAGGGTTATTTAACCTGGCCAATTGTTGAAGGTGGAATACTGCTAAAGTGTCTCTTCTTAGTAGGTTTTGGCAATGCCCAGTGAGAGCTTCCTTTCAGGAAAAGTTAATAATTTGGATAAATCTTCTGATGGAAAGTTCTTTAACATTCACATGTTCTTTTGAATTGCCTACGCATCTCTTGATTTTTAAAGCATGATCAATGTAAATGGATTTTCCACGTGCTTTTGATAGTTAAAAGACTAATATGGAAGGATGAACTGTCACCTGGAAAAACACAATGGATGTAGGATTTAATGAGGCTTTAAATTTTTATATGGGTGCTTTAGGCATAATTTACAAATGGATAAATATATGGGAATTTGGATGCCTTTGTTGAAGTCTAGATATATTTTTTTCATAACAGTAGCATTATGAAAAAATGTTATATAAAGAGAGATAATATAATGAATCAGTGCTATAGAACTTTTTGCATTTTTGCAAAACCCATAATGTTTCAGTTTTGTTCTTTTTTAATGGTATGATTTGACTTCTGGGGAGTTTTTTTCTATTGGACAATAAAAATTAATAAAAAGGAAATGTGCAGGTATGGGAGCATGAGAAAAATATTGCAAGGATGTGGGAGAAGTTGTCAAAGGTAGATGGGTATGGGAAAGGAAAGGGAATAATGGCAGGAGGAAGAGAAAATGGAAATGCAGTGTTGGTGGTGAAGAAAATTGCAGGCCATGGGAAAATTGGTGGGGGGAGGGAGGGAGGGGGGGAGGGAGTAGTCTGGGAAGGAAATCCCAAGTGTGGAGAGGGAAGAGGGAGCAGAAAAAGGATCCGTAACAGGGGGAAATAACATGTGTCCACAGGCCCAAAATGTTGCCAACCCTGTCTTAGAAGAACCAGGGCAAACTTGCACCAGTTCATTATTACGAAGGTCTAGAACACATTTTATACAGGGAACCAATCCATCTGAGTAATATAGTATTAAAAATGTACTTACATCTCTGGCTTTTCCATAGAAGGCCTCTTGAAAAGCAGCCTCTAATGACCCAATAAAAAATACTGGATGGCAGTCACCATATCTGTTTAAACACCAAAATGTTTCAATTGAAATCCTAGAGTTTCATTCAAAAACAAGTGTCAGCTAAGCTTCCCATTGCAGAAATATTTATAACATTGTATTTATAGGCCTAAGACATTCAAAAGCTCAATCAACAGACAAACACAAAGATACCTCTCAGTATTTTTTGAGGTATATGACTTTTTTCAACATAGGTAAAATTGATTCTCAAATTTATTATTGCAAAGGCAAAAACTGCAATATGCCTTACAAAATCAAATGGAAATCTGTCCTTTTAAAAAAAAATCTCAACTAAATGAATTTGGCATGGCTGAAGGTAGCTTTTCTCCTTCATTCTGTATTTAGTTTAAAACATTATGTTTAAAGAATAGAGTATCAGCTTTAAAAATGGTACCACAGAAAGGAAATTCTGTTCTTATTTATTTCTCTTCTCAGGGACAATGGGAAGGTCCTTTTGGCATAGACTCTTGTTGGGAGAAAGGCTTTGTAAGGCTTTGTAAAAATTTCTGGAGCAAACAGAACGACTTCAAAATAGCATCAACTGAGAGCTGCTTTCCATGTGGCACATGCAGTTTTCTTCTTTGCATGTTTCTCAGAGGCACAAAAACCTTAGCTGCCCCAAACATTCATATCTACCATCTGCCATTTCTCTTATTCAGTAAAACTCCTCAGAAAAATACAGCTTAAAAGCTAAAACTCCAAGACAGTGCAAACAATACTTTTAAACTTCATGTGCATGAAGCCACATGAAACAAGACCAAATTAAAGAACAAATTTTGGAACAAATGGTGTGCCTCCTCACCTATTATACTCATTTAAAGTTATTCTTAACCAGCTGACCCAGCCTCAGCTAACTGTATTTCCTCCTTTATATACCAGTTTGCAACTGGGGGGAAAACCCATCTTCAAATGAAGGACAGCATTTCAGAAGAACATAAGAAGAGCAAAGCTAGTCTATCTAGTCCAGTCTCTGTTCACACAGAAGCCTACCACATTGCCTAGGGAAAACTCACAAGCAGGATACTACCTTCCTGCACATTTCCCAATCAGCTGGTATACCTAGGCATGCAGCTTCTGATATTGAAGGTAGCATATAGCATCTGAATTAGTGGCAGTTGATCATTTTATACACCATGAATAGGTCTGATCCCTTTTTAAGACTGTCCAGATTGATGGGCATTACTACATTTAAAGGAAATTAATTCCACAGCTTAACTATCCATTGTGTGAAAAAGTACTTCCTTTTATCACTCTTAAATTCACCACCAATCAACTTCATGGGAAGATTTCTAGTATTAAGAGTGAGGGAGAAAAATGTCTCCCTATCCACTTTCTCTACACTATGCATAATTTTAATTCAACTTTTATCTAAGCTAAATAATCCCAGATGATATAGCCTTTCCTCATAGGGGAGTACAGTGCTACCTTGGCTCATGAACTTAATCTGTTCCATGACTCTGGTCACGACCCAAATTAGTCATGACCCAAGTCAAATTTCCCCATAAGGTTCAATGTAAATAAGGTTAATCCGTGCTGTAACTATTTTTTTTAAATCACAAAAATTTGAAACGTGACAAAGAACAACAAAGTAACAAATAACAACAAAGATTGCAGCCATCTTCCCCACCCCAGCACAACCGCGATCGTGCCCGTCTTCCCTGCACAAGTGTGACCGCCATCACAGCCATAGACAGGTGTGATCGCAGTTGTGCTCGGGCAGGAAAGATGGGCATAATTGCAGCCATCTCCCCGCCCCCCTCAAGCACAACCACGATTGTGCCTGTGCAGGGAAGACGGGTGTAATCATGATCATCACTCAATGCAGAGTTCACAACTTGAGGCAAAATTTTTCTGACATTTCTTTTTGCAACCCGATTTGGTTGTGAACAAGCTGAGGTACCACTGTAGTTCCAGCACCCTGATCGTTTGAGCTGCTCCTTTTCACACTTTTTCCAGGTCTACAATATTCTTTTTTTGGTGCAACACATAGAACTTCACACAGTATTCTAACAGGGCAATCCTATGGCCACCAGACAGTGCTGGAGCGGAAAGAATCACACTGGCTACTTCACCAAAGTCATAAGAACAACCTCAGAGAAGGGCTTTTGGAGACATTCCTGGGGGAAGGAGGGGAAGAGACTGGTACAACTTAAGAAATAATTTGCACTGGTGGTGCTCGAGCCTTCTTTCTTCCTACTATGACACACCATACCCAGACTATTGAAATCCACTGTCTAACTGCTTTGCTGAAAGAGAAGTATGTCAATAATCTTTGCCTACATACTCCTATAGTCCTGCATCAGCTGCTCATAATCTTTGGAGATGTGTAGCTGGGAAGTGAAAGGGATAATCAATAGGGATGACCACCTCAAACTTTCAAAGTTATAATATGATGTACCAAACTACTTTTTCCTATAAGGAATGTTTCAACTTCAGAGTTTAAACAAAATGGGTTGTATGCAACCTTAACCATCCACCAATTAAATGGAAACACTTGGAGGAATGGTTCTCTTATCCCATCACCCCACCCCTTGCCTGCTCTGCAGCCTGAAATTTGCACCTGATTGTTAGGGGACCCACTGTAACAGATTTTGGAGGAATACAAGCAGAAGGAACAAGGGAAAGTCGTGTTGTGCAAATGGAAGTCAGCTTGAGCAACATTGGATTTAATGCAACAGCTTATTTATCATTCCTGCATTTTCACCCAATAGATTTTTTTTAAATGGTGTGCTATCTATTCATAATGGAAAGGTTATCCATAGTTACAATCTAACCTTGAAGAAAATTCTCCTGTGAATTGTGATAAGGCATCTCCTTCATTTTCAGCATTTTCTGGCACTAAAAAGGAAATAAGAAAAATATTACAAATGTGTATTAATATACCATTTTTAAAACATTCCTTTCACTACTTCCTTAATTCTGTGTATATACTATTAAAATAATCTGCAAGTCCCCATCTTAAACGTTGTTGTTGTTGTTGTTAGTCACAAAGTCGTGTCCGACCCATCGCGACCCCATGGACAACATTCCGCCAGGCCTTCCTGTCCTCCACCATCTCCTGGAGTCCACTTAAGCTCACACCAACTGCTTCAGTGACTCCATCTAGCCACCTCATCCTCTGCCGTCCCCTTCTTCTTTTGCCATCTATTGTTCCCAGCATTATCTTAAACATAGCAGTGATAATATAATACTTTGTTGAAACAATATTTCCAAATTGTTCTTGGAAGATGAAGATACAGATACAAATAATAAATCTGTTTTGCATATCAAACTATTATTCCAATACTATAGTGAGAATTATAAGCAATATTATAATTGCTTATTGCTTGGCATAACATTCATATAACCAACTTACATACGACATTTGTGTAAAACTAGAGCACAGACTATACCAGACTTCCACAAAATAGGCTAGCAGATACAGAGCAGGGGTTCGGATATAATTTTGAACTGGGAGACTTTTCTGAGTTATTTTTTAAAGGAACATCAAAATTGTTCCTCTGAGTAGCTAAGGCTTTGACCCCTGGCCTTCCTGTAAGTCACATAATTCTCCCATTTTACAAACAGACTTTTGGCTGTGCATTGTATGTATGTATGTGTTACTTTTTCTTAAAACTGTTAAACACAATGGCATTATAAAGCATAATATAAAACCTGTAAGTTTAAAACAGAATGAAACCAGCAGTAACCAAGAAAAAAGATCTAAATCCAAGAGATTTAGATTTCTAAAAGATTAGAAAGTAGTCATCCATTGCTGTAAAGACCACAATGTAACCTGGGCATGGTGGTTCATACAGTTAAAAAAAACCCATAATCGTTTAAGTCATGTTGGTTAATTTAGATCATGGCACCATGGGTGTAATAGGCTTACTGGACAGTTGTTTCCCCCTCCAATAAGCCATGCCCTGCTCAGGTTCAGATGAAGTGACAAGCCAAGCCTAGCCAGTGATTATTAATAATGAGCCCTGCATGCACAACAATTTATATAAGCTTCAAAAAAACCTTTAGAAAATCTTCCTAGGCTCATTAATATATGTGCTTATTAAAATAAACTCATACTTGATTTGTTATTGTTTATATTTTGTTTTTAAATATATTATTTAACTTAGGTAATTTATTTTGTGTGGGTTATCTGTCCACCTGGAGTTCTGTATCCAGAATATATTAATACAAACTTTCATTTTCATGTCCCAACAGCACTGGAATATAAAGATACCGCTGTTTTTCTTATTGCTCAAACTGCAGTCAGCACAATATCACACTCTTTACAACATAAAGAATGGCATTACTTACTCATTGGAGATTTCCTTAATGCAGATGATGCCATACCAAACATCTCTCCATCATCCACTCCAAATTCTGTTGCATCTTCAAAGTCATCTCCATCACTGTCACTAACCATGTGTACATCTGTGCACTGCTAATTTAGTAAAAACCAAAATTAATCACAAAACTGAACAAATATGTAATACTAATATTAATTAATAGTTTCCTGTATTCAAGTATAAAAGTCACCCAGTTTGAAACAAAGAACTTCTGAAGAAAAGCTGCATATTTGACTAGATAAAAGTATCTTGTAGTACTTAATCAAAACAATTACTCTGAAATAATAGACATTTTGTAATTTTGTTGCATAGAAGTCAGTAGATGAACAGAGCTGCTAAAACAAAATATTTTTGTTCCAAGAGATATCATTTCCCCTACTTTTTAACAACTAAGGCATATGGTATCATCTATTACAAGTTAAGATCAGTTTAGCAATATTCAATCCACTGAGATTCTTCAAACTAACTCTACTTCTGCAATTTGTCCGAATTGCCCATTAATAATATGGAGTTTATACTGTAATTCTCAGTTTCCATTTAAATGTGCTTCATCATGATAGTTCTTTCTTAACTTTCAGTCTTACTCTCTTTTTCTTCACATAAATTAACACGACCAAACAGCACAGATTATGCCACAGGAGGATCAAATTCAGATTTATGGGTGATAATTCAGAGTACAAATTCCATTTCCATTAGGGCTTAAAGGGGTATATCTGGATATAAGACGCAGGGTTGGGGGCGGAATACCTCTTCTGACTGCTCCCTGGTTTGTGCTGGAGAAGATCGTCTTCCAACTGTAAGTCGATGGCAAGGATAAGATATCCCTGATGCTGCTAGGGTCATCTACAAATAAGACATACATTGATGCATTAATTTGCATTATTTTCTTGAATTAGGGCAAATATACTTCTTTTAGCCACTAAAATCAAATTGTATGAGATCTGTATGAATCAAAATTAAAACTTGAGTCGTTCATTCACATTCACCTAACATAACCGAGTGCTTCTTTCACTGCCATTTCTCTCAACAGAAAGATGAGAAACTAATCAAATTAAAAATATTATTATTGCAATTCTCAAGATCATTTTATAGTGTTTATATTGTTTTATGGAGTCGTCCCTGGCCATGCTGCCGCTTGCATTTCCTGGGGAGCGCACCGGCACGGCCATTGGGGTGGTGATGGGCAGAGGACGTAACAGCGGTGGGAACTTAACGTGTCCGCATAGAAGAAGGAAGGACAGATGGCTGACACCTGTCCCTACTTCTGGTTTTGCTCCCAGCCAGAGGGTGCCAGGGAGTCTTGTCAGTCGCCCCTCGGGCCTGACGGTGCTGCTGCTTAATGCCAGGTCGGTCAATAACAAATCTGCCCTCATCCATGACTTGATTGTGGATGAGGGGGCCGACCTGGCCTGCATAACGGAGACCTGGGCGGGAGAGGGGGGGGATGTCGCCCTCTCTCAAATGTGCCCGCCCGGGTATCTGGTTCAGCACCGTTCACGGCCGGAGGGGAGGGGAGGGGGGGTTGCTTTAGTTTACCGAGCCTCCATCTCCCTCACAGGACTTCCTGTCCCTTCGAGACCGGGGCTGGAGTTTCTCTACTTGGTGTTGGGCGATCGAGACAGATTGGGGATTCTGTTGGTGTACCGTGCACCCTTCTGCCCAACAGTCTCCCTACCTGAGCTGACGGAGACGGTCTCGGACCTGGTGTTGAGGACCCCCAGGATGTTGGTCCTGGGGGACTTCAATCTCCATGCCGAGGCTAGTCTGACCGAGGCGGCTCAGGACTTCATGGCCTCCATGACGGCCATGGGGCTGTCTCAACATGTCATCGGCCCGACCCATGAACGTGGACACACTCTGGACCTGGTTTTCTCGACGGGGCAGGAAGAGGGTGGTCTGAGGGTGGCAAATTTATGCTTGACTCCCCTGTCATGGTCAGATCACTTCCTGGTGAGGTTTGTGCTCGAGAGTGACCTCTCCCTCTGTAAGGGTGCGGACCCGATTGTGTGGGTCCGCCCCCGGAGCCGGATGGATCCGGAAGGATTCCTGAAGGCTCTGGGGGAGTTTCCGGCTGACAAGACGGGTGCTCCTGTCGAGGCTCTGGTCGAACTGTGGAACGGGGAGATGACCAGGGCTGTAGACACGATCGCTCCTAAGCGCCCTCTCCCACCGGGCAGAGCCCGCTCTTCCCCTTGGTATACTCCTGAACTGAGGGCGATGAAGCAGGTTGGGAGACGGCTAGAGCGTAGGTGGAGGAAATCACGGGATGAATCTGACCGAACACACTTAAGAGCCCACTATCGGGCCTATGCTGTGGCGGTGAGGGCGGCGAAAAAGAGATTTTTTTCCGCTTCCATTGCCTCCTCACAATGCCGTCCGGCGGAGCTCTTTCGAGTGGTGCAAGGCCTGGTCCGTCCAGGTCCGAAAGAAGATCTGATTCCACCCTCAAAGGCCCGCTGTGACAACTTTGCCAGGCATTTCAGGGAGAAAATCGCTCAGATTCGTCACGAGCTGGATTCCACTATTGAGTCAGAGGTCTTAAGGGAGACACCGATGCTACCGTCTGGTCCAGAATTATTGGATGAATTTCAGTTACTGCGGCCCGATGATGTGGACAAGGTGCTTAGACGAGTATGTCCCACCACTTGCCTTTTGGACCCTTGCCCGTCTTGGTTAATAAAGGATTCCAAGCACGGGATTGGAACCTGGATCTTGGAAGTGGTTAACGCTTCTCTGAGGGAGGGTCGGGTGCCTGCCCCTTTAAAGGAGGCGGTAGTCCGACCGGTCCTGAAGAAGGCGTCACTGGATCCAGAGATGGCCACTAATTATAGACCAGTGGCCAACATCCCGTTTCTGGGCAAGGTGTTAGAGCGAGTGGTGGCGGGACAACTCCAAGCACTCTTGGATGAAACTGATTATCTGGACACATTTCAGTCCGGCTTCAGACCCAGGTACGGTACTGAATCTGCCTTGGTCGCCCTGTACGATGACCTGTGCAGGGAGAAGGACAGGGGGAGTGCGTCCCTGTTGGTTCTCCTGGACCTCTCGGCGGCTTTCGATACCATCGACCATGGTATCCTTCTGGATAGGCTTGCGGGATTGGGGGTCGGAGGCACTGCTTTGCAGTGGCTCCGCTCCTATCTCAATGGCCGATTCCAGAAGGTGGTGCTGGGGGACTATGGCTCTGCACCATGGCAGCTTTGCCATGGAGTACCGCAGGGGTCCATTTTGTCCCCCTTGCTGTTTAACATCTACATGAAACCGCTGGGAGAGGTCATCAGGAGGTGTGGGCTGCGGAATCATCAGTACGCTGATGATACCCAGCTCTACCTCTCGTTTTCCACCAATCCAGGTGAGGCAGTGGCTGTACTGAACCGGTGCCTGGCCGAGGTAATGGGCTGGATGAGGGCCAATAAACTGAAGCTCAATCCAGACAAGACGGAGGTCCTGTTGGTAGGCGGTTCAGGCTTTGGAGAAGGTGAATTGAACCTTGTCCTGAATGGGGTTGCACTCCCTCCTAGGGATAAGGTCCGCAGCTTGGGAGTGCTCCTCGACCCAGAGCTTTCACTCGAAGCTCAGGTAACAGCAGCGGCGAGGAGCGCTTTCCTCCAGCTTCGGCTGATTCATCAGCTGCGCCCCTATCTGGAGTACGACAGCCTCGCAACAGTGACTCATGCACTGGTGACTTCCCGTCTTGACTTCTGTAACGCGCTCTACATGGGGCTGCCCTTGAAGACGGTCCGGATACTTCAATTGGTTCAAAATAGAGCTGCCAGGCTGCTGACGGGAACTGGACGTTATGCTCACATGACTCCAGTTCTCCGTCAGCTTCACTGGCTTCCCATTGAAGTCCGGGCCCAATTCAAGGTGTTGGTGATGACCTATAAAGCCCTAAACGGCTTGGGTCCTGGTTACCTGAAGGAGCGCTTACGTCCATATATGCCCAGCCGCCCCTTGAGATCAGCAGGAGAGGCCCTCCTCCGGGAGCCCTCAGTGAAGGAAATTAGGAGGGTGGCTACTCGGAGGAGGGCTTTCTCAGCGGTGGCGCCTAAGTTATGGAATGCGCTCCCCAGAGAGGTCCGCCTGGCGCCGTCGTTATTTGTTTTTCGGCGCCAGGCGAAGACCTTTTTATTTATGCAGCATTTTAAATGTTAATATTATTGAATTTTATTCGGCCAGGGCGGCTTATTTTATTTTACTGTATATATTTTAATTGTCATTGTTTTAATGTATTTTGTATTCAATGTTGTAAGCCGCCCCGAGGCCTTGGCAAGGGGCGGCATAGAAATGTTTTAATAAATAAATAAATAAATTTCAAGTTATCATTTCTTAAAGCATGCACTTCTGTCCTCTAGAGTTCTGCCTAGCTACCTCACTGGCTGGGTTTGCTTGACCCACGACAAGCCATGGTGGCTTTTTGTGCAAGTTGATCTGTTGAGTCATCTGAAAAAAGCCATGGTATTTCAGCATTGTATGTTTCATGTTTAGGAACCAATGCTGTTCCATGGGTTCCACACTTCACCATAGCTTACCTAATCATTTGGACCAAACATTGTGGCTTCCATGGGCCTGGTGTGCAGCTACCTCAGAGTGTCATGGAAAGAATAGCTACTATGGGAGTTGCTCCAGCCCTGCGGCTTCTGCTCTCCTTTTCCACCTAGCAACAGATGCATCAATGCCTGCCTTGATCCAACAGGCTGATCTACAGTCCCTTCCCCCTCGGGCTTCTCTGCATCCTTCATAACATCTACCTGTTGTTATTGCTGTTGCTGCTGTTCTCCAGCAACAAAGAAGCACTTCTAATGCTGCTTCAAACAGTGACCTTAGCCATGGCAGCCATGCTATGCACTCACTGCAGTTTTCACAAGCAGCACTTCTGAACTGCTCTGCCTTTGCATTTCATGTAAAAGCATATCTTCCCTCTCTGCATGGTGGGGTCACACATACAAAACATAGGGTAGTACAAATAGGAGAGTCTTCCTGAAATACATTGTCTTCCACTCTGTCTTCTGTACTGTCCTCCACTCATATATTCTCTGCTACCTACCAAGGGATTTGTAACCATCAACTTCTGACCAGCCACATCTGCAGCACAAATATCTTCCCCAAAAGCAAATAGCAACATTTCCAGGGAGCTGCCTAAACTTCCTCTATCCGAGGCACAAATGCTTACACTCCCAAGCAGAATGGACTTTGGGAATGATGCTGCCAACCCCAAGCCTCTTCTTCCGAACAACCACAGCCTCCCAGGTGCCTTCTCAACACTCCTACCTGGAGGAAAACTCATTTGCCACAAAGGGGCAGCTAGATCAGGTCTGCAACAGCCTGCAGACTTATTTCTGGACATAATCATTGATCACGAATAAGCTCAAGGAGGTAATCATATACAGTAGGCTCTCTGGGGAGGTCTCCAGAACCATGCCCTTCTATAACAAATGGGCATGTCTGCTTCTCAACTTCAGGGACATCATGTCCAATTAAACTGCAGGAAGCAGCATCCTTCCTTTCCAGTCTTCAGGACTGCACTTCTGTCCCATGAAGACCATCCAGTACCCTTATCTTCCAGTCCTTCCACCTCCAAAACCCCATCCTGCCTGGGCAAGCACAGCTTACACTGCTCCTATGTGCAACACCTACTCTGTCACCTTCTCTAGAAAATCTGATGAGGATGGTTGCCAAAAGAGACCTTCATCTTAGCACTGCAAGACCAACCCTTCAGCATCTAGCCTTTGCTTCCCCAGAAACCAGTGTACCCCACTTTAGGTCACAGCTTTGCTGCCACATAATCTTCTAGTAGCCTGACCTACATGCCTCCTGCAGCGAGACAAGGAGGGATATGGCCC